ATGTATGCATTTCAGTGTATTCAATAAAAAAAAAATAAAAAAAAAAGTTTAGAAAACATAAAAAGTGAACGATCTTTATTTATCTTTTCCTCACGATCACTATACCAATTTGTTTAAAAATGTTAAAAGTATCGTACAGCGCTTTAGAGTAAGAGGATTTTTATTAACATTTATTAATGAGATTAAATGTTCAATTTAACCTGAATCGTTGGCGACTTTTATTGATAATAATATAGTCTACGGAAGACTGTTGCGGAATTCAATCTTTTTTGCCATTTTGTGGTTGGATAAGAGCATAATATTCCCATTTTAAAATCTCGAAAATATTCGTAGCTTTTTTTCCATGCAATTTTTATGCAACCCTGTGAAAAGTTCTCGGGATTCGTATTAAGACGGAATGAACTCTGTAAATTGTAAGGTTATTTTTAAATTTTCGAATTTTTTTTTTTGTTTCTTTGTTCAGCCTGACGTATGACGAAATGAATTAAGGTAGTTTGTGCAACTTTAGTCTTCTATGGTGGTCTAGACTTGTGATTAAACAGCTCAATCACATTAAATCGATTTAGTAATTAATATTAATAAAAAATTATATTATATCTAACAATGTTCGTCTTCGGTCAGTATACGAACGGAATCCAGCAAAGTATTTATTGGCAATAACATGTAATAAGGCGCTAATATCTATCATTACTTAATGAGGAAAGCAGCACTCACCTTGCCCGAGTAAGATTTTAAGAATACTTCCTTATAAACGTTCATTTGCACTTAAATTAAGCAAATTAAATGATTCAAAAGCAGATATACATAATTAAATTATTGCAATTGCTTAGTTATCACATTTACTTCACTTAAAACCGGTAAAATGGCAAACCAATGCTAAAGCTTAGGTAGCAAGTTTTCATATTCTGTCCGTCAGGACAGTTGTTGCGTTACGCGTTACTTTAAATTGTTGAACTACAAGTAAGCTTATGGGCAACATATTGCATTCGGGCCTAGATGGCGTGGAAAATGTTTGAAAACTAAAAATTCGAAAGCTTGTCGTATAACGGTTTTCTGTTAAGTTTTTAATGTAATCAATTAAGTTCTCTTTGGGAACTATATTCCAAAATATTATTGTACTACCTTTTATTGCTAAAAATTGATAGCTATAACGCTTCCATATAAAGCAATTCTTATGATATGCGCTTAACACGGGTAACATTAACATGCAGAAAATCTCTTCTCCTTTGCCAACGTAGGATTGTGAGGAAATCCGTTTAGAATAAAAACTTTATTATTTACCAAATAAATCCCTATAAGATAAAATTGCAGGGATTCTGATTGTTTTTGTTACACTTTTGCAATAATGTTTAATTTTTTAGTTTGTAACAGCTTCCATTGCTCTATATTTATTGGACATTGAACTGATATTTTAACCTTATTGCAAACGCGCTAAACCCAAAATAATACCTAAGCTCATGCAGCAGTAAATTATGGTCGAAGGAGCTTTTGGAGGAAGCTTTTTGCAATAACATTGCCGCTTCATACACCGTGTTATATAGTATACACTATTCCCATACCTCCGGAAGACTTTCCGCCTAGGCTTACTGGGGCAGCGCTGCCATTTTTTACATGCTCCATTAGGGGAATGTAATAGCCCTTCTGAATTCAAGCGAACACTTCAAGCGGAACTTACTGCACATGTCTTAATAGGTACGCAATCATTGAAGAGTGCAGATATAGTATGTGTTAGATAAGCAACTTTATTATTACCATCAGCTATATACAGGATATCATCCCAACTAACGCCAAAGTAGGCGAAATTCAATCTTTCCATATTGATGGATTGAAAATCCCTACAGTTGAAGGACACCCGTTAGCTGGTATCACGGCTGATATGAATATCCAAGATGCGAACCAACATCCAGGAGTTAACCAACCGCGATTGGGCTCCGTTTGCAACTGCAACGTTATTTTAAAAGTCATTATTTGAAAAAAAAATTGCTATTTTTAAATTTCTCATTAAAAGTCCCTGAATGTTCACATTTCGGCATAATAAACTGATGTGAAAAATTTGGATTGAATGGTCATTTTGAACCTCCTCCCGTATAACCGTTCCCATGAAAAATGAGGACTAAGTTTTAATATTTCTTCGTAACAAATGGTTGGTGGCAGCGATTTAGGTAAATTCTTTTAACTCCATTCCAGGTCAGGGTGAGTTTTTAATATTGTATGATCAAAATCGTCCCTATTAGCAATTTGACATGAAATACCAAATTTGAACCAAACAGAAAATTAATAAAGTCTTGAATAACGCGTTCATGTGAGCAAAAATATTGACCATCTTAAATGGACCTTTGTATGAGCTTACATAAAAATGCAATCTAATTTTTGTTATTCTATCAAAAAAATAAATGAAAAATTGTATTAAGGAAAATGGTATAGACTTTGTCCAACCATTACATTTTAACTTCCTTACATATGATTTTCCCCACAGATATACATCATAGAACTCATGGCAACACTGAAAATCGTTTTGTCGTGTTTTCGACGTGTAATCATCTGTCAGTTGCCATAAAGAACTTTCATTCGTTTACTCGCGTTTTGATGAGTGAGTGAGTGTTTTGACAATCAGTCGTTAAAGGAAAGTGAGTTGTGTTTGGCCGATTAGAAAAAAAATGCCAGCTCCAGCAAGTGCAACTTCAGTGGGAAGTGGTTCCCGTTCACCCAGCAAATTATCGGCGCCACGTACAGCTGGTGCCGGTGGTAATTTGAAGCAACGCAAAACTACGAGCAGCAGTGGTGCGGCTAAAAGCCGTGCTACAGGTGGGGCTGGTACGGGCGGTATGTGGCGTTTTTATACTGACGATTCGCCTGGTATTAAAGTTGGTCCTGTGCCAGTTCTAGTAATGTCGCTGTTGTTCATTGCATCCGTGTTTATGCTGCACATTTGGGGCAAATACAATCGATCTTAGATTTGAATGAAAAACATTTACGCAGGTTACTTTCAAAATACATCTACTACAGTGGCACCCGATCGCTAATGTCGACGTCATCAATTCAAGCAAAATGTTTACTATAAAAAAAGTTACCATTAACTTTTCTACTTTTTTTCTATTTTAAACATTTCCTTTTAATTTAAGATTTCATAATTTAATAATTAATTAACTATAATGTTAAACTTTGATTTATAAATTGAAAGAGACTTAGTTTGATTTGTTTAGAACTTATGCTAATTTGCAAGCTCTGATTATAATTGTGCATTAAGGAATTTTTTATTTGTACGCGCGAAAAAATAAATTTTAAGAAAAAGTCAACGGCTGAATTCGTTATTGAAATATTTGTATCGACTAAAATTATTTTCATTGAGCATTGAGTTGGGCATTAAATACAAATTCTATTAACTTTAGAGAATAATTTTAATAATTATAGTTGTAATTAGGGTCCCAAATACACTAGCCAATTCGTTTTTTTTTTTTTTTCACTAGAAGACAAAGTTTATGAGGCATATATCCGACTCTCATTCGTTGTTTAGACGTTTGCAAGCGCAAAAAGTTCCGCTATTCATTTCGCAACAAATCAGTTTCGTACAATTGAATAAATGTGATAAATTTAGAAAATTTACTGGAAGAAATATGGAAATTTTTCTTATGATATGCATTGATAGACCTCGAAAGAATTAAGCTGAAGAATGTTCCAAACTGATATAAAATCATGTGACCTCAGCTTGTTAATGTTTTAGGTCTTTACTATTTTTCAGCAATTTCTTAAGAAAAAACAAGTAGAAAAATTATATTCGGTTATGACCGAATCTTTTATACCCAGCACGATTATTTTAAAAAAGACAAAAAAACTAAAAGCATTAAATTTTCATGCAGTGGACGCGGCTGATTTTTTCTATTTTCAAAATAAAAGTTTTTGTCGCATAGGCGTGTGGGCATTGTAGACTCGTCTTTGGAAAACTTTAGGTCACATCCAAATTCTTTTGCAAATTTTTAGGCGATATATTCATTTTCGCTAACGGGATAATGTTTACCATAAATACTACAAAGTTATGCAAACAGTCAAATGGGCAGAGCAACATGCGTAAATGTTTAGGAGCATTGGCCAGGAATTTATATACTTTATGGGGTTTTTAAAGCTTATTTCTACGCGTTATAAAGGTATTGAAAAAATAAATAAATTTTCATACACCAGAATATTAGGTCAGCGTAGTCACTTCTTTTCATTTTTGTACAGGTATTGAAACATTGCGCATAGAATATACGGTCAATTTTTTATAGATTTACTTGTTACAGTTCACGAGTAATGAGCAAAAAATCAAATTTTCACTACCTTTTGGAAAACAAAGGTATTCTTCGTTTTCGTGGTGCTGTGGAACGTGTCCTTTCACTGATTTCGCACCATTTTCAATACTAACCTGCGTGCAAGAACTTCCAATGTTTTTACAAACATGTTTAAAACAGACATTCCGCACATCGACACACGAACATGCTTAGATCGACTTTGAATTTGATGCTCATCAAGAAAATATATATTTTGTGAGATCGGTGATGCTTCCTTCTTGGCGTTGCAAACGTTTTGACAAAATGAATATACCCCTCATCGTCCGGTGATTGGTATAAAAAATGAACAACTGGGATCACGAGGTAGCTTTTATACTGTTGATATAACGTATCTTCGCATTGCATTCAATCCTGCAAAAAAATATTTAAATATATGGGAAAACAATGTAAATAAATGCAATAAAGTTGCGTATCACGGAAAATTGTTTAATTGTTTACGAACTTGTGCGGAAAATGATGGGTTTTTTTAAATGAAAAAGTTATTTTCCAAAGTATGGGATTTGCTCTTTGCACCCTTATGTTTAAGGATACGTTACTCAGTTTCACAGTTTGATTTGTTACTTTTTGGTATTCAAAGCACACGTTAGTTGCTTACATGTACATAGACTTGTTTACTTTTGATGTGGTAAGGCAGACAAGCGCTGATTTTGTGGCGTCAACTATTTGCGAGTGTAATCTGTCTCCCAGATGTGGAAACATAAACGAATCATCATTGTGTTTTCCATCTTAGTTCATTTAATACAATAAATATCTAATTAGTGGCAATCCTTTCCATAATTATTAACAAATATTATGCTATTGGCAACTTGTCATTAGACGAGACTGCAGTTTTTCTACGAATTCATGTTGGCACGTCTTGTGACGTGTACAGATTTATTTTGGTTTATTTTTCCTCTTATTTATAAATGTTAATTTTAAAATGTTGGATTTTGCGGTGATCTTTACGAAAGGAGGTATAGTTTTGTGGAGTTTTAACTCTACGGGCGAAAATGTAAACTCATGCATAAATAATTTGATACGCAGCGTAATCTTAGAGGTATGTTAGGAAGGTCAGTATTAAATGTTAACATATAAATAAAATTCGTTGATTTCGCGGCCAGGAACGTAATACAGAATCTAAATATTATGAAGAGGATAATTTGGCGATACAGTTCAAATTGGACAATGAATTTGAATTAATTTACGCTGCAGTCTTTCGAAAGGTTATACAACTGCCTTACCTAAATATATTACTTAGTAATTTGCAAGCGGCATTTAAAGAGAAATTCGGCCATATTTTAGCGTCGTCTGAACGTCTTAGTGCAAATTACGAGTTTGAAAAGGATTACTTGGAAACATTAAAAGCTGTCGAGAACACCGCCAAATTAAGTAGCAAAGCACCAAAACAAATGCGTTCTTTTAATGAGTCTCTTAAATCGAAAAAGACGGTAGCTTCAATGATTGAAAATCCTAATGAATCTAAGAAACCGGAAAATACCAAAAAGGTGAACATTGTAGAATGCCCTAAAGTTTCAACAATGGAAAAAGTACTTAGCAGTGCAGAAATAATTGAGGAAAATCGTCGAAAATTAAGAGAAAAGTTTTCAGGTAAAAAGAGTCCTCCAGCCGAACATAAAAATTCTAAAGGTGAAAAGACTGGTAAAAAGCCTCGTGTTTGGGATTACGGTGGCAATTCCAAGGACGCGGCGTTCTTAGATCGTTCTAAAGATAATCCGCACGATGTCACATTCAAAAATTTGGAAAATAATGTATGTTTTTAAATGAAATATCTTATTTCTCTCAATATTAATTCGCAAATTTTATATATATAGATTGTTGGCACAATGCAAGGCAGTATAAGAGATTTGGAAGTAGATAGTGATGAAGAGCATGATAATGTTAATGGGCTGCATCATGACATCGTCGTTCATAAACCCCATGTTTCACAAAACAAAGAGAAGTCTGGTATTTTATCTTATTTCAAGGGTATAGTTGGAAGTAAAACTTTAACTCGTATCGATTTACAACCGGCTTTGGATAAAATGCGAGATCATCTTATCTCCAAAAATGTTGCCACTGATATATCAGGTAAACTATGTGATTCAGTCGCTTCCAGCTTAGAGGGAAAATCTGTTGGTACATTTGACTCAGTTGCTTCTTTGGTTAAAGAAGCGTTAACAATGTCATTGGTACGCATTTTATCACCAAAACGTCGCCTGGATATAATACGTGACGCCATGGAAGCTAAATCTAATAATACGCCATATACCATTATATTTTGCGGAGTTAACGGCGTAGGAAAATCTACAAATTTGGCGAAAATATGCTTTTGGTTGATAGAAAACGATTTTAGTGTCCTGATAGCGGCCTGTGATACATTTCGTGCTGGTGCGGTTGAGCAACTGCGCACTCATACTCGCCATTTAAATGCTCTGCATCCTGCAGACCGGCACGACGGTCGCTCCATGGTGCAATTATATGAGAAGGGCTATGGAAAAGATGCGGCTGGCATTGCGATGGAAGCTATCAAATTTGCTCGCGACACACGAATCGACGTAGTTCTCGTTGATACAGCTGGTCGAATGCAGGATAACGAGCCTTTAATGCGCTCTTTAGCTAAACTTATTAAAGTAAACGATCCTGATTTGGTATTATTTGTAGGCGAGGCTCTAGTGGGTAATGAAGCTGTAGATCAATTAGTAAAATTCAATCAATCTTTAGCCGATTATTCATCGGATGGCAATCCTCACATTATTGATGGCATAGTGCTGACAAAATTCGATACTATCGATGATAAAGTGGGTGCTGCAATATCAATGACTTACATAACGGGGCAACCGATCGTATTTGTGGGTACTGGCCAAACGTACGCAGATTTAAAGGCGATTAATGTGAATGCTGTTGTGAATTCACTTATGAAATGAAGTGATTGATTTATTTTTGGTTTTTTGTTGTTGCTTTTCTTTCTTTTTTTTCCACTCCCATAAATCTCAGTGAAAGATTTGTTTTGCATAAATTTTGTTTTTGTACATTTATTATATGTTTAAAAAAATTTAGAACCTTCTAAATATATGTTTTTGTAGAGAAAATCAGATTCGTTGCTTTTAATTACAATTAGATAGAGAGAGGAAGAGAGAAAACATCGTTTCTTCAAGTGACTGAGCATGGATATAAAAAAAAAGATAACATGCGACACATAATTACAATTTAAACTTTTTTACTATTCATTACCTAGAAGATTATTAAGACTTAATTCTAAATCTATATCAGTGACTGAAATTTATCATTTTTTTTTTGTTTTTTTTTTTTTTTGTTTTTTAACTATCATATCATCCGGTACATGATTGGAAAACATAAATTTGAAATGTATTTAGGGGTACAAGTTTCGGTAAATAGCGTACAAATAGGGATTTTGAATCATTTGCTATTTTGTAAGCAATGCGGCCTTTTTTCGATGAAATCAAAAATCGAAATTGCGGGTTGCGCCTTCAAATTATTTGAAGCAATTATGATATACTTCAGTTAATTGCGAATTCTGTGTTTTCAACACCAATTCATACCACAAGTAAAAAATGTCATTTATTGTCTTTAGATTGTCTTTAAAGGACTCACAGATCGTATACAGGAACATTAAAATCGAAATCTGATAAATGCAGAATTATAGATAGATATATTGACTTTTTCTATCTTTCGAAGTAAGTCAATTAAAGGCAACCGCAAGAATTTTGTTGTAATTGCGTTAAACGTGACGGCATATACTTTAATAACATGACGTAATCTAATTCTAGATTCATTTTTAAGGTCTTCAGTTCAATTGACTCGAGAAGATAAATAATTCGATATGGCAGAAGTAATTTATCAAAGATTTCAAACCGATTTTCAATTCGATGCCTATTAAATATTCACGATTTTAATTTTGAATTCTGGTCTACATTCGTTATTTAAATTTCAGTAACTCAATTATATTAAAAATTACTACAAATAGAAGAAACGCTATTTAATTATATTCTAAGAGAAATTTTTCTATCTGTGAGAAAATGATGACAGGCAACGGATGTAGTCAATTTTTCGGAAAAAGTGAAGACAATAATAGAGCAGAGACCGGAAATTGCAGTAAGCAATTCTTTTTATATATCAGCCGTTACCAGAATGTTGGTAGATTATTGCAGTTTGCTGTGTTTTTAATTCAAAGTTATTTAAATTATTTAGCGATTAAGGCTTGATTTATGGAAATGTTCTATTGTACAAGATAAATGTGTTTTTTTTTTATTTATTTTAAACTTTATGATTTTGAAAATTCTGACAAAAAACAGATGGACATAATCAAATTAAGGCAATATTTAATGCTAATCAAGGGGGACGTTGATATCTATGTCCAGATTTTGAAAAGGGAACGATAAGTTAGGATACTTTCATTCACTAACACTGATTGCGTCTGCTTAATACTATCAGTCATTTATTATTATCAAAAGTTATAGATCTGATATTATAACAATAAGTGTTTGCAATTAAATTCGTACGCTTGCGTAACCCTAGCTGCATTTGGTAGTGCAATTAATATCCAATCAAGTAATGAATGAAGCTTTTAAGTCTTATAAGCTATTAGTATTTTTCTTTAACTACATTTTTTTTTTTTTTACGTTGCAGTTATTAGGGAAAACGCTTGTTTCTATTTTGCTCAATTGCTATCAAAATATAATAAATATAATGATAAAATATATATATATATATAGGATATTACTTAGCTAGAAGTAACCTTAGCTACTTTCGGATCTATATAAGAAATAACACTACTCTGACTGCTATCATCTTCGATGAGGTTGTCACGTAAACTTTTTGACACAGTGACGATTGATGTAACAGTGGAAGAGGTACATGGTAGGAAGGAGGATATTGAAGGTGATGAATTGCCTTGCGGTGATAAATTGTCATTTTCAGTCTTTGTGTTCTTAGGCACTACAAGTTGATCAGAATTTAAGAACAAACTGGTCGAGGAGGCATTATCACCGCAGCAACGCAATTGCAAATCATTGTCGCTGTTTAAAGTAGGACTACCACGTTTAATGGCTTCATATAGTTCATCTATAGAGGTGGCATTTATGCTTAGATTTCGGCTGCTGCTATCACGGTGTTCACTGCGAAAATCATGTCCTCCAAATACTGAGAATTCATCATCAAAATCATTAAGTCCCAGTTCAGCTTCGCTGGCATTTGATGATTGATAACGAAAATCGTCAATTAATGTTAAGTCATTATCCGCTTGCGGAGCATAAAGGCCATGGCTACGTATACTTATTTCTGAATTTTGATAATTTAAATCACTTTCATTAGCGGGGCTAACTGATCGAGTACAAGCGCCTGTTAAATGATACAGGCCAATATCGCCATTATTGCCCTCCGTGCGTGGTTCTGAAGCAGGTGATAGGTGTTTGTGTGATGTTGCAGAAGAGCAAGTTGATAAATGCTTTTCGCTGGCACTTTTACTGAGCGCTTCATTTAAAGAAGGGCATTTTTTCCATACACCATTTGAACTCGGTGGTAGTAAAAGGTTACTGTGGGAACCACAGACTTCATTAATTTGAGCATTTGTATTTGCAATGGGTAGGACTTTTCTGTGATTACTAAAAATATCATCCAAGTTATTTAAGGATTTCGACTGTTTTTGTTGTGTGCACCGTATCAAAACTCCGGGAAAATCATCCACTAATTGCACTTGAGTAGTTATTTGCAGTGAATTGGACACATAAATTTCGTTACGTTGTAAAGCAGGCTCCCGTTCTCCTTCCTCCTCTAATTCAACTTTTTCGCATTCATCTTCTGTTAAAAATAATGAGTTTGCAACAGTTGATGCAGCCGCCGGAAGTCCCAAACTATTCATAGCTTCTTTATCGTCGTGATCCAATAGCAATGGTGATCGGGGCTCATGTTCGGGGGTAGTATTGATCTTTTTTGATGTAGACGTCGACGTCATAAGCTCCACACAGGAGTTTACGAACGAATTACTAAACAAATTATTTACTTTAACTGACCCTTTTGTGTTCTCATATAATGGAACATTTTCTTCGTGTGAACTGCTTTCAAGTTCTTCAAATTCCTCTTGATGTTCTTCTAAAGTTTTCAAAGAGCGTCCACCGCCACCTCCTGCTCCAGCACTCATATTGCTTCCTCTAACCTTATGTACCTCAAGCTGTGGCTCCACAGTTTCGGGTATATTTGTGTAAATGTTCATAGATAGAATATTAGCCCGTTTCCGTACAGTATGGTCAGACGGAGACGTACTATTTAATTCAATTTCATCACTGTCTAATACCGCTACCGTAGACACCTGATGATGATTTTTATAACTAACATTGTATTCAGGTTTATAATTGATGTTTGTATTGTTAACTTTACCCACGCCGCTGCTTAACAATTTCATTGTCATGGCATTATGACGTCGAGAATAATAATGACCGCTGCCGTTGGTCGAAGAAACATCACTGGTATTATCAGGTATCGCTGCATTGCCGCCCACTCCACAATCCGGCCTATCCATTTGCCGCTGCAATTCAAAGTTATTGCGTTTTGCTAACCGCTTTTGTTTTTTGAAGAATTTCCTCGCAACATTTATCTGATTTGGATTGTAAAAGATCTCAGCACTGGGAATATCGTGTGTTAAACTCAAATTTAAATGTTGATTATTGATGATGGGTATTGGTGGAGATGTTATATTCAATGGCGTTGCACTATTTGCCAATAAATGTTGAGTGGCAGCGTTGCCGTCACCACCACTGCGTATGCTACCAGTGCGATGTTTAGAGCATTGTGAATTTGAACGCGAATTGCCCGAATTGTTAGCAGTCGCCATCGTGGCTGCGCCTTCATACGATGCTTTATAAGCCAAAATTGAATTTGCTAAGGGTGCCACTGCTTCATTGCAAGAGCTGTCCGCGTAAGTTCGCGCACCGTCCATCATTAAACAGCATCTGCTGTAACTCCATTGAAATCGGGTATCATTTCGTGTTAAGGTATAAAACAGCAACATAAATAAACCCAACAGGCAGCATGATATTGCGAAAATGACAGCGTACATATGGCCGAGATCATCGCCTTCGGCGGTATGCATGACAAACGCCACCGCCGATAGCCAAGCAGTAACAAATAAAACCAAAAATACAAAGTGCGCTCTTAAATGAGCCATATTCGAACGCTCGCAATCATCCACTATGCTGCTGACAGCGTTGCTTAACGTCAGACTAGTATAACGATCCATATTTGTTTTCTTATTAGCAGCTGAAGGAACGTGATTGTTCGTAACCGAACGGCGATTCGTTTGACTATGATTAGAGTCTAACCAATCCATATCAATATTTTCTGTGGCCTGAGTATTGTTGTCGGAGAACTGCGGATGATTTTGCATTATGCCTAGAGTACCCATTCTTTGTGTTAACTGGTAATAAATAGTTAGGAACAAAATGCATACAAATATTAGTAGTATGCCACCAGGGACCAGCATAGCATTCATGGCAGAGGCGTTATGTAAAAAACAAAATGAATAAGCAGCATACTCATTGATATTAACAGCTCCACTAATGCCGCAGATAATCATGGCAATACCCCACCCCACCAAGTAAATGCCCATGACCGGTTTCTTCAAGCGAGCCTCTTTCGGCAATTCCGATTCAGTCACTCCCCGATGATGTTTCGATAGGCGTTTGTACATAGTACTCAAGCTGACGCACAACCATAATAAAACGCATAAGCTTAAATAATGCATAAGTAAGCCTAATAGACGGCATATGTCGCGTCGTTCAGTTTGAAAGACTCCCAACGAAAAAGTTATGCTTAAAAAAGCTAAGGCTAACCAAGTATTGATAAACGTGTGACGCTGTTGACGATTAATGCGTATAGCTCGGCCAAACACCAAAAAAGTAACAATATTCACAGCCAGGCATAGAAACAAAGCAATAGCTCCTACGTAAATAGCAGTAGGAGAAAAATGGAAACGTTTTCCTGCATCGTCACTTGCAAAATCATTAAGATAGGCGGTGCGTTGTAAAAGACCGTAATAGCCAAGACGTTTACATGAAAACATCAGCAGGCCGCGATGCATATATAATTGCTGACATGCATCCAATTTCCATTCTTTACGTTCAGGATCCCACCAAGCTGGCTGCGGTGAACCCAAATCATCATGAAAGGGATGTACTCTTAAAATTATGGTAATTTGATTATTTTCCAATTCTTCTATTTTGGAGAAATTTTCATCATCGATAATTTTGGCAGCAATTACGGCAGAAGTCAATTCTATCGATCCGTTTCCATTTAAATGAGGCAACAGATTGGCGTTACGGAACACAGCTACCATTAGTTGTATAACGGAAGCCTCGGTTTTATCCTTGAACAATAAGCTTACTGGCACTTGTATTGCGGCATCTGTATATCGCTCAAAGGTAGGAAAAGTATCATTAGCAGTACTGCATTCGAAAGTCGAACTACTGGTTGCACCCCACGAGAAGTCATTTGCAGTTGACGCTGCACTTCGTAGCCATACGCAAGAAATACCCGTGAAAGATTCTGAAGAAATGCTAAAGTAATCTATAAAAAAACTTCGTGGCATCATCATAAGATGATTATTAAACTCCATATCATCGTGCGTTGGTGAAGTCATAGAAGTCTGAACCGAAGCTTTTTCAACACAAGCCAACAGTTTTAAACCACTTTGATATGAACGCTGAGCTTCATAAAATGTCTGACTTGGTAATAATAACAATTGAGAAACTATATCCAGTAGAAGACGAGCTAATTCGTTTTGGTATGTAATAAAGTCCAAATATTTAACCAAAGTACGAGCTAAAAATTCCAAATCAATGGGGTCACGTATGCGGCGTAAATTAGCAGGTATATGGGTAAAGTTATGAAGACTACGCGCTATTTCTAATACGTTGGCCTTATTCAAAGTCAAATTCATTTTGGCAAATTGCTCGAGTAAGCGTGTAATAGGGCTGACAAAAGCGCACATTTCAGTATTCAAATTCACCCATAAACCGCGTTCATCGCAATGATAGGTAGCCATAACGCCGGTATCTGAATCTTCTACACACACCTGTTCGACCGTTTGGCCACGCACCGTCTGAGGCCAGTGATAGTTTCCTTTATTGCTTCTTATATTTACTGCTTGGCAGTATTGTGTGTTCTTAGCAATTACTATAACTGCTATGGCATGGGAAAGATTGGCCTGTGGCGATCGTAGTGTGCAGTCGAAGGTGCCAGTGTGATTACGTCGCACTGTAGCAATACGCAAGATGGAATCCAAAATACCTGAATCGGGAGTGTGTTTGCTTTCCAAATGTACATCACTAAATACTTTGCTAGGATCACGGAAATTGATGTCTTCCGTGGAATTCTGAGATAAAATTTTATCAGACCAACCCCAAAACACATTTGCACGGCTGGGTAAATCTTCAGAATCGCGATGCCCACCAAAGGCTACGCGAGGAGCCCGGCATTTTAATAGCAATTCATCGCCTTCAAAAACAACCTTTAAACATACGAATTAAAACTCAAATTAAATTATATTCAATTTAACATAAGCATACTTGATTTTGTTTAGGTAACAATTCCAATAACGGCTGTAGCGGTGTCTCGCAGTGCAAATCGAAACCAACCTTTAACTTTTTCAATTGATTGCCTTTAAAATATTCGGGAGACTCACATTTAGGAGGCGGCAACAACCTTATCAATTTCGAATTCGACCATCCCAACAACCAAATGAGGTCACAATTACAGACCAATGGATTATTGGATATATCTCTAAAAAGCATATATTTGCGTTAAATTCGCTGTTTAGTTATCTTAGTCAAATACTTACAACTGCTTAAGATCTATCAACGAATCGAAAGATCCTGGAAATATATGACTAATAGTATTATTGGACAATAGTAAGCGTTCCACACTGCTAAGTATTTCACTAAATGTATTTTTGTTTATATCTTTCAAAAAATTACTCGATAAATCTAGGCGTTTTAGTTCAGTAAAATTACGGAAATAGTCTTTATCGATGGAAGCAAAGCCATTTTTTTTTAAGTCCCTAAATACAATAAAGAAATTAATTTTACGCTTATCATTTTTCATTAAATAATAGAGCTTACAAAACTACTACATTGGCAGAATCTTCTTCGAAATCCAACAGCTGAAAATTGCTTAAACGTTCTTCGGCGCCACCACATTTTGCTCGCAAACTCCAGGTCGTCTCCGTATTATTCTTGCAAATGCATTTTTCAGGACATTTGCAATCAATTAATTGCCATGCAATAAAAAGTGTGCTCCACCATAACATCGCCGCATATTTAGAATATTTTACCATTTTTTCTCTTTGTGCTCCGGAGAATGCAGTTTTTCATTTATTATATTTTCTTTTTTTAATGTTTATCCATTCATTACAAATTATTATATATGTAACTATATCAATTAAAACAATTGGAAGGAAGCCACAAAACTATAATAAAGAAAAAGAAACAAATGTCAAAAATCTAACAACAAATCGTTGCAATGTAAACAGTTACTCAGAGATGATAGTGACATAAAACAGAAATTAGGTACATATGGTTTCTACTAATACTACTAATAGATTAATTATAACGAAATATTATTTCGCTGAAGCAAATAAAATACCATGCATTAAGAAATAAATGTATAAACAATATTTAGATTTTGATAAGTGTCCGAAAGTTTATTACGTATTTTAACTTATCTTTCCAACTCTAAATTTTAACTGTCTTCATTGCTTTATCATCATTCTTATTATTCAATGATTTTGGCCATTTTCATTAATCAAGCTAAAACTCCCGATTTTTTCTTACCAAAGATATTAAATGAAATTATATTCTATAGAAGTTGAAATTTTTGTTTTCGTTTCATAGACTCATTTTCAACGATTTTGATTTTGTAATGCATGACTTCCCTGTTTTTGTGAGATCAATTTAGAGAGGTAAGTGGTCGATAATGCAGCACACAATTAAAAAGAAAGTAAAGTTATTTTATAAAAAACATTAAATCTTTAACTGTTTAAACATTTTTCGCCCATAAGTAAAACTATGCTATAAAATTAACTGTTAATGATAAGAAATTATAAGTTTGTCAGTTGGTTTTTTAGAAAATTTATATTTTTATACATTGCTTGGCGACAAAATACTTTTTATTGAAAGATATAACACATAACGAAGAAGAATGAAATTTTTATGCTCTATAATACTTGATGGGCGGAGTTAATTTTTCCAATTGTTTTTTACAGATCGTTATGCTTTTTAGGAACTTTTATCGACCTGGGCCATTTTTCATACCAACCTGCTTGAAGAACTTGTAACGTTTTTGCTGCATTTGAATCAATCAATATCTTATTTATTGCGAGCAGAAGAAATTTTATTACAGACATTACACAGAGAGAGAGATGAATATGTCTAGTTCAAATCAAAATTTGATACTTTTAAGGAATATATATGCTTTACAAGATCTCCGCAATCTCCTTCTGGGCGTTGCAAGCATTCTACTAAAATCAACATATCTCCATCCTTCGGCGAATGGGGATTTCACTTAAAAGGGCAACATACATCACCAATGATTAGAGCTGAAATGATAATGAAACACAATTTAGCACGATCTTAAAACATCGTGATAATAATATATGTAAGCAATAGTGATCTTATACAATTTTCAGTCCTTGGACTTCAAATTTTTGTGAATATTGAAGTTATGCGCGTTTGTATAAAATATTGTATTATCAGTGGCCGTGCTTTCTGCCACATATAGTTACGAATTTGAAAATTTGTGATCTTAAGAAGCGCATAAGTTAAGTTCGCCTTGAATAACGTTTAGGAAAATATCGAAAGATTCAAATAGTTTAATAAAATTTATTTTAAAAAGCTAATTAAGAATATTCAATTGTTTTGTAAGGGGCGAGGCCCTGCATTATCTCTCGGTAAGAATATTGGATTAGCGCGCAGCTGCTAACAGGATAATTGAAAACAGTTTGAATTATGGAAATTCTGTCATGTTAATCTTAAAAAGTCATCATACATTATAGGAGGAATGTTCATGAAAAAAGAAAACCTAACTTTCTGCATATAGCCAACTTAGTAAGTATAACATAGTTGACCGTATTAATTTCATCACGACTATTGCTCAAACCATTAACTTAATAAAATCGCGGTCAATTACTTTTATATATTTTAGATTAGGAATTACCTTTTTTGCGGAAATTGTACAAGACAATATTACATGTAGTCTTAATGTGGTTTCACTTCTTACTTTATGTATACCTTAGCAATGGTAGTAATTAAGTCAATATTCCTTACGTGCACGTCATCTAAGACAACATCAAAGCACTGATGCATCAATTATAACGTTTCAGCATATGCAACAGCATTTGAGTTGTGCACAATGCTATGTCCAGTGTTAACCAGCTTAAAAATATTTAATAAGTTGGTAAAATTGCATTAAAATTATTTATGATTTACATTTTTTCACGTGATATTTTATGTCTTGAATATTACCAAATACAGATTGTTGTTATTCTGCGCGAACACGTACTGTAGCGAACTCGGCTACCAATGAATTATGTTGCAATGAAATTACCCTGCAATTCACTACGCACGCAAGGTATGACAATTCAATATATATTGCGTTTATTGCATTAACTGTTATTGTATTAACTGCAAGTAAACAATTCAATTGGCCTGTTGTAAGCTATATTGGGCGTCTATCAATAAAATGCAGAGTGCCGTCAACCAGAGTGTACCAAATGTATCTTCAATAAACGACAATATGATAGAATATTTTGCATTACGCTTAAGATTTTGAATTCCAATCTTCCCATGTACCTTAATATCAAGAACCTAGTCTTTCCGCACAAGCTCATCCACTCTCAAACACCGGGCTATTTATATGAGAAGATTCTGTTCGCTAAATGTTAGCGAACAATGAATTTAATTCTGCTTGACCTCAAGTATTTATCATCTTTAAAACTATTTTTTATTAACGTCATCAAGTTGTGGAACTAATTGCCACTCAATACTAAATTGATTGTTAGCCCAAGTATTCTTAACATGGCTATAAAAGACTTCTATAATCTATATTAATTCAATCCATTTCACTTATAGCTAAGGTGACTAAACATAATCCTTTAACAAATGCGGGACTACCATGCACAATACAATACAATACTTGGCTTTGTACGATCGATAATCATGTAGGAGGCTATAGTCTTCTTTGATGTGCCCATTTCTTTTTTACGAATGCAAGAAAGTGAAGTGTAAGGTGCATTTATAACCATCTCTGCATTGTTTTAAGAAGTGGAGCATAGGTGCTAACAAGGACTCGCAGGTTTCCTTTGAAAAAAAATACTCAGAAAGAATGCTTGTTTTTTAAGCAAACTCGCGATTAGGCTATTATTGTTATGTCATTACTCAAACTCTTCAAATTATTAACTTATTGTTTACACTTAACGATTTGCGATGTATACTTGCTTCGATCTCAAGGGTTATTGAAAGAGCCCGCTTAAACAAGCATAAATTGCTTTATCCTTTCTGCAAACAAATATTTTAAGCGAAATCATTTTAGAGTTATCGGCAAGCAACTTTAGACGACTTTTCACTGTTATGTTATTTAATTTGAAAAAGACAGAAATTATAAACATGGATTAAAAGAGTCTGAAACCTTCGATAGAATTAGAAGTGAAGTCTGTACTTAAGGATTAGAAGTAGAGGTATTTAGAATGTTTTTATTTTGGATTAATAGTGATCTCATTTGCGGAGGAGAGACGTTGGTTGTAGAAAACCGACAGTCCCAAGCACTTTAGGGAAAAATTCAAAATTGTCATTATTGAATTGATTCTACGCAGAGGAATTGATGTCGTCAATAAAAAGATCCGCAGCTTTCGGCTTAGGTTCTCTAATTGCTACTATGGCTTTTTTGCAAGTCATTTTACGAGTTCGTGACGATATTTCTACAATAACGTTTATTTTAATTCACTACACCTGCCGCAACAATATCAAGGTTATAAACGTTTTTCTTCCGTATATGTTACTTTATAACGTATTTTTGCGGTAGTTATGATAAATACTTGTGCGCAGTCTAGAATAGTTATAGATATCTGTCGTAATTAGGGATTACTCGTAGCTTTGTTTTACAATTTTCGTTTTCAGTTTTATGCGAGTACTGGTGTTTTGTGTTTTCACGACGTGTAAAAGTTTTGAGTTTGCGGATACGTATTTTTGGAAATTGCAAAAAAATCTTCAAAGTTACTAATTCATCTTTCATGCATTCGCCACTTAACCACTTTAGCTCTTTACCAAACTCCGCTATAATTTTTTTGTTATCGTGTCAAATCAGATTGAAAAAAAAAAGGATATATTAGAAATTATTTGCGTAATATTCCATATTTAATACAGTAATTTAGTCATTTCAGTAATTTATTTATAGAATTCATGTTCTTGTTCATCTTTCTTTATGTTATTTTTATAACCTTTTTCGAAATCTTTGGACAACACGATATAACGATTTTCTCTTACGGCATGCATACCAGCCTCTTGGCAAATGGCATTAATATCAGCACCAGATATTTTATCAGGTCGCGCTACAAACTCTTCCAAATCAACATCTTCGCTCAAATTCATTTTTGACGTGATCGTGGAGAAAATCAAACGTTTTTGACGCCTGTCTGGTAACGGGAATTCTATTTTTCTATCTAAACGGCCAGGACGTAATAGAGCTGGGTCTAAAGTGTCGGCCCGGTTGGTGGCCATAATAACTTTTACATTCGTAGTTTGATCGAAACCATCCATTTGATTAAGCAATTCCAGCAGAATGCGTTGGACTTCACGATCGGCACCAGTCTGAGCATCAAAACGTTTAGTGGCAATAGCATCAATTTCATCAATGAATATAATTGCTGGAGCATTTTCCTTGGCTAAACGGAAAACGTCGCGTACCATACGTGGTCCTTCCCCAAGATATTTTTGCACGAACTCTGATCCTACCACACGTATAAATGAAGCAGTGGTATGATGAGCCACAGCCTTGGCTAACATAGTCTTACCACATCCAGGTGGACCATACATGAGAACACCGCGAGGAGGATCAATACCTAAGGATAAATGAAAATTGATAATCTTTCATCTAAATGTTAACGTTCTCATCTATTCACCAATTTGCTTATACAGTTCAAAGTGGGTCAAAGGCAGTTCAACAGCTTCCCGTATTTCTTGTTTTTGCATATCCATGCCACCAATGTCTGCGTAACTAACGTCGGGTTTTTCATCCGGTTGCAGCATGGAAATTGAACTATCTGCCTCTGGAGGCAAAACATCAACCAAAGCATTACTGTGCTTGTGTAAAGCCACCGAAGCCGATGGTTTCAATAATTCTCTATCAATGGTGGATAAAATACGCACATAATAATTAGAACCAGTGGTAGAACCCACGATACCAGTATTTTGATCAACGGCTTCTAAAAATTGACCAATAACTAGGGGCACAGATTGTATACGTTTAACTTCCTCTTGGGCGTGTAAATACTCTTTCTTAAGGTTACGTTGTTCATCTTTAATGTACTCTTCTTGTACCTCCAGAAATTCCAAAGTTTTTTGCAATTTCTAACGCGGCAAACATAAAAAGTAATGACAATCTAATATGCGTATGCTCCAATGACAAATAACTTATACCTTATATTTCACATAGAGATCATCAATATCTAACTCATCCAACGCACATGAAGCATCTTTTAATTTGAAATCGAATGTATCTTCCTTTTTTTTTTGTATAACAAAGCGTTAAATTGTTTGTTTTTAATTAAGTAAATAATATTCCATACCTTTTCGGGGATTAAAACTTCCATCTTACTTTCCCTTTATATTTTTAACCGCACGAAATGAACAAGAAAAAAAAATTTTTTCTAAGCAAAAAATTTGTGGCATAAACAGCCAATGACTATGTAAAATAAGGGTATTGCCAAATTTAATTGCACTGTAGACATTACCATTCTAACAGCTGTTGCTAAAAAAAACACTATCTTTATGGCTGCATACTATTGTTTTAAAAATAGCATCCAGTCGGAATGTAAATCTGATACCTTATATAATTTGTTGCTGTAAATCTGGTAGCGTGCGTATTTTGTTGCTGTAAAAGTAGTATCGTGCGTTTATTCCTGCAAATTTTACTTTTTATCTACATATGCCACGCACGTGCTCTTGTTTACATATCAAAAGTAAGATTATATGTTATTGTTGTCGCAAATGTGGTACCGTATGTGATTGTTATTCTTCATTTACTTAAAGTTCATCACACATATTTGTAAAATTTGCAATATTGTTAGCCTTTTTTCTACTTGAACGTATATTTTATGGGCGTTGCCGTAAGGCCTGAACAAAAATGAGAAAAATTGACCACATCTACCCAATATTATAGTACATCAAAATTTAAGTTTTTTTCAATACAAACAGCTATAAAACACTTATAAGGTATATAAATTTTTGGCTACACACAGTTCCACATTCGTAATGCATCAAAGTATGCCTATACGTCCATCGGCCCAACTGTGAGTCTGTGTAGTATCTGTTCTAAACATTCTGCCATTAGCGAATATGACCATATCGCCTACAAATTTGCAAGAGATTTTAGAAGTAACTTAAACTTATCAAAGGACACGTTTACAAGACCCACTCGCCTACGTGACAAAAACTTGTATTTAGAAAGTAAAAAATATCAACCGCGCCCATTCCATATTTTTTTTTTTAATATAACTGTAATGGGTATAAAAGACTCGATCACGACCGTACACAATTTTCTTACTTGTTTATCTATAGATAAGTTTCCTTACTTTTTCCTATAAAATTGTAATTGTATTTCCCGCTTTGGACTTGCTTACCCGAAAAACGGAATAATAGTAATTAATCGCTAGCTTGTGAGCACGCTTTGCGAGATCGCCGTTGCTTCCATCAATGCTCTTCAAACTTTGCTGTAACATTTTTCTATATCTAGCGTTTCTATTATTAAACGTGAATTGTCACTACTACGCTTAAGTTCACTGTATAATAAATCATACCATCAATTTAGAGCCCTTGTGCACAGTTCCCTCAGACTTGTGGAAATTATTTATTTATTTCAATTAATGTAACATACTAAGCCCGACTTTGGGCCAATATATGTATATTAGAAGTAATCTCCTGAATATAAGATAGATGATACAAGGCGTAATATAATATATGCAATAACATCATCGGGCAATGTCATGATGAAAGAATTAAAAAAGGGGAAAATAATATTACTGTGTTTCAATTTACTCAATATAACTTATGTGTAGAAGTAACTAGTACCAAGTAAAAGTTACAGACTGGCTCGCGAGCCACATAGAGAATTAGGAAAAAAATAGCATAGCAAAATATTAAGAAATGCCCTTAAGTAGTAGCAAAATAGAAACAGTAGCGTTAAAAAGAGCAACAATAAGTACTAAGCCAACATTCAGCGGTACCGACTAAATATAAGTAAACGGGAATGAAGGCCGCAGGAAATCCAAGATTACAAAGAAAGTCGAGCATCCTACTTATTAGTAGCAAGGTGCGTAGATGTAGTAGCAAGCAGTTCCACCACCGCGCAACTCGAACTACGAAGGATCGGTCGACGCAACTCCTTCTGCTTCCTAGTGGCATGAGTAAAGGAAAATTTAGAACATAGTTGAAGTGGCTGAACGTGTGCTACAAATCTAACGAAAAGAAGGTAGTTGCGACTTAAGGCGAATAGGCTGAGTGTGTCTCCGAGAAAGAGCTTAAAGCGCATTAGCGAACAATGTTGTTAGTAGCACAATTTTGTCTAGCGAAACTATGGGCCACCGCGTCGGACACAATTTCTAGGCCATAAGAGAGGATAGACCAATTTGTATTTAATCGATTGAGGTATATAAATATTGTTAGAATAAATTACGCACAAAGTTCCCATCAAAAAAAAAGGTGGTCCAAAGAGCTTGATGATCCCTACATTACGAAAAGGCTGTACATGTGTTTGGTTAGACCCATACTCGAGTATGCCTCAGTTGTGTGGTCTCCTTCATGTAGGTGCTACGTAGATTCAATTGAATCTGTTCAAAAGCAATTCTTGCTGTTTGCCCTTAGAAATTTGGGTTGGGATCCGGTTGCCTCTCTTCCTCCGTACGAAAATAGGTTGCTTCTGCTGTCCCTACCGTCTCTTGAGAAACGTATGCTTGTTCTTGACGTTTCCTTTCTAATTAAAGTAATAAATGGTGCCATTGAATCGCCTTCATTACTTGGTGAAATAGGCTTCAATGTCCCTAACCGATTCTCTAGGCACTTTATCTTGGTTAAGCTTAGTCAGTGTAAGTTTAATTATGAGCTGTTCAATTCGCTCAGAGTCGTTTGCAAGAACCTAAATGACGTCTACCACTTATTCTCGTTATCGGACTCTTTAAAGTCCATTAAAGCAACATTGCTTAATACGCGCGATTTACCTATGTCGTATTTAAACTAGCTTTAATCCTTAAAAAGTCGTTACGTTTCGAAAATGAATTATTGACAATTTATTATCGGTTGCCAGGCTTATGCATGTTTGCGATGGTTTAGGGGTTCATTTGCAATTTGGTCCTGTACCGGTTGTAAGTGTGCCCCTATCCTGATAGTGTACATGTACATTTTTTTTCTTTTTCTTTTTTTTTTTTCTTATTTGCTTTATTATACTTATATTAAATTTTATCATTAATTAATATAAGTTTTGCATTAAGAGCCAATTGAACTCGACTGTTATTTGTTTAGTTGAGTTTCTAGTATAAGTGGAATAAATAAATAAATAAAAAAAAAGAAACAAAAGAAACAAATAAAAGTGGATTAATGTTAGATTCAGGGGCATCCAGATAACGTCGCTCAGTTCTAAATAATAGAAAAATATCATCCGCAATTAAGTGCGGCCTAGAAACATTCCTTTCAGTGAGTTCAGGAAGATCATTGATATATATGATGAAAAGGAGAGGGCTTAGAAGAGAATGCTACGTTACGATTAAGGAATTATGATAAAGCGTGAATTGCTCGTCCTCAAGACGGTTCATAAACTCATCTGTTCAGTCATCGTACGCAAGCCATCTCAACTATAGATTCCGGTCAATTCCTCTGCCGAATTCCAGTACATAGAAAGCATTATCAAACCAATCTCAAAAACTTGACATAACAATAGGAGATTTCATCGTCCTCACCATAGTAAGTAAAATTCACAAAAGGGCAATTAACATTCGGGTTATGTTCTTGCGATAGATGCATGTGTGCTTGGTGACCATGAAATCACCGTTCACCCATTCGTGTTATTAAAATAGACTATGACTTGCGAGATTCGTTACACATGTTGGCATATTTTGTCTAAGGGTCATATTTTGTATGATGCTATCATTTGACACTGATATGGATAAACAGTTCATTATAATCATCTTAATATATGGAACACGTTTAGTTTATCAGCTATTCATTTTGATATATAAGAACTATCTTTTAAAAATTTAATAAAGCAGACGAAATTAGCACCTCAGCAATAAATCACGTCTTCCTTTTCGTCAACGGTGTTCTGATTAAAGTGCTTGAATACAATTGTAGCAAAAACCATCAATAGTTAACAAAAGCCTATGCGCTTGTGTTACTCGCTAGTCAGAGACTTAAACAATACTTTTTAAGTATTTCTCCTTAATTTTACCACGCGACGCGATTGAGTTAAATTTAACCCATACTGACCTATTTCAATTCACATAGCGCGCCAAACTGATATTAGCAGCAGAAATTGCGGTTCCATAGGTAAGAGCAAGGCGCAGCATAATACCAAAAGTATTTGGAAAGCAATTCGGTAGCCCAAGGTTCATTCGCTTCAATTTTAACTTTGCATTGCGCAGAATAACGCGAAAGGGACGAAAGTGGCCCCTGTTCACCCACTTTGGTAATATCATCATTGGTCATCCCAATGCATGAACTATGCACCCATGGGAGACAAACAAATCAGGAGATACACGTCTAGTTCTCAATATTAATTTACAAATCTTCTTATCGGGAACCGTAGTCAACGATATGAAGGAGAATAATGCAATGGGACACAGCAAAACATCGGCCAATACAGTAAACATAACTAAATCCAAAGATAACCACGCTAAATGTCGTATATTGCAAGTTTAGCTTCCACACAAAGTATTAACTCGAATTATCGTTATAATTTAAGTGACACAATGAAAAAGTACACCAATAAATCAAGAACGTATGAACGAGTTCTCGCAGTAAAAACAGCGCGAAATATATTATAAAAAGCGGCCGATAATAAAGAACGTGCTACTCTAGAATAGTGTTGGCAGGCCAAATTAACCCTATCTTCTCCCCTGTTATATTATTTCTTCTGTCAGAACGCGAAGAAAGTTAATTAGGGAGATAGTCACGTATTTGAAACTCAGCTTATGTTTTTGTTTTTCAGTTAGTTTCACATCACGTATGTGATAGCATTCAGCATGGATTGATGACATAGGTTTTTTAGAATAACGTAGATACAACAACTGTTAATTACGCTCATATTGCACGAAAGCAAAGGAGCTTAAATATGGCGTCATTATTGGTTGTTTAGAGAAAACAGCTGAAAATTGAAAATAAAATAAATTCCAAGCAAAATTGCTTATTTGCAAACAGCTGAGTCAAAACAAAAAATTAACAAACAGAAGGGAAAAAATATACAAACTATTAATAAGAATTGTGGATTTAAATTTGGAAGATTTACAGCACAGTCTTCATGCTGTCGTTGGGTTGTACACAACCAACTTCAGCGTGTTACTCAATTGAAATAAAGAAATAAAGAAAAGAGTCAAACATAACCTAGAAAGCAAAAAATTGAAAAAATCTTAGTAAAAAAGCATCAATATTTCATCATCACGTGAAATTTTGAATATCATCAATGGGTTTCTATAAAGTTACTAGATCATGGATATAAATTTAAGTTAACAGCACGTTACTCAATTTAACGTAAACAATTTCATCACCAATGAGTTAAACATAACCTAGAAAGCAAAAAATCAAAAAATTTAGTAAAAAAGCATCATTAGCATCATCATCACGTGAAATTATGAATATCAGCAATAGATTTCTATATAGTTACTGGATTATGGATCTAAATTTAAGTTAAAAGGTCCAATCCATATTAAATACAAACAAAAAAAAAGAAGAAAAGATTTACAGCAAATATGTCGTTTCTGCCTAAATGAAGGCGACGTAAGATCGTATGATTACAAAGTAGAATTAATCAAAACCAGCGAGGAAGTCAGCTTAGAGAATCACTTAAATGTAACGATTATAGAATGAATGGAAATATTAACAATAAAGCTAATATATTAAATTTGTATGCATATACGCATCAAAATTTTTTTCTTAGACTAATCTTTTGGAACTGGATGCAGAGGTTTTCTTTGTGTGTTTGGCCTCATTGGAGGATTTAAAGTTTTTTACTATTTTTTATAACAAGTTAAGGAGTGCGAGTACTAATTTGAAATATTTATACCAAAAGTATTTAAACGACGTTGTACAATACATAGAAGACGAGAAAAGAATTGCAAAAACAATTGTCTGAGCATGAATTAAGTTCCCTAATAATAGAAGATTTAAATGAAGTGGACAGTGAAAATATATAAGAGTAACAAATATACATGGATTTGGTGGAACTTAAATTTATTCCTTCTACCGTTGAAACTAATGAGAAGAGCTCTGAAACAGCAGGTTCGCCTGCAGGTTACAAACTCTTCCAAACTCTGAAATAGAATGCATCGAACACTAAAACTGATGCGTTATATAAGTGTCAATATTGTCGACAAACATTGCATCTACGTAAATTTTGTACCCATGCTTTCAATCCAAATGCCTACCTATTCAAACATACATGGGGAGTACTTGAAGACTGCAAATTTACGATATGCAAAAAAAAGTTTATTTGTTATTGTTTGAAAAGTCATATGAAACAAGTGCAGGGCGTAAAATCACCATTCAAAATGGTTTTGTTAAAAGCGATAACAATTTCAGTATACATTGTTTATTACTTCTATTTCATTAATTAACGTATTTTATAATCGAAATAAACATATGCACGTATTTAGTGTAGAAGTGATGTGCAACTAAAAATAAAAAGAATACTTGTCCATTAATATAGTGGTTGTCTATTTGTTTATTCTCTTTCATTTCCATATGAATGATAGCGACGAAAACTACACCAACGCTTTAAATGTTTGGGCACAAACGTTTATCAACTATTGGTTTGGCCGCAAACGAAAGTTAACTTTCTGATACGTAATTGATCCGGCTCATCTTTTTTACCACGGTCCACTAAGATGTTTTTCAATCAAAACATTATCTCTTTGCTTAGCACAGCAGCTTTTACACATAATGAAGAAATGGTTTATCTATCTGAAAGTCGCACAAAACATTTATTGCGTTTGCGATTTTAAGTCTTGCACACAATGAAATATAAGTTTGTTTTTCAACCATAAGAATTACAGTTAAGTACATACATTGAAAGACTATTAATAATTAAAGTAATGAAATAGAAGGTAACGCATCATCCATTTAAGACTGTTAAGACTGAACGCTATAGTATTCCCGCAAAATAAAGCTGCAAGTAGTTAACGTAATAAAGGCCGAGCTTTAATAAAAAGGATAAACAAATTTATATATATGTAAATAACTAACATGATTTGAGTAGCTTAAAGTAAGATCTTGATATAAAAAATGATACTAGAAAAATTAATGTGAAGACGAATAGGTTTTTTGAATTTAATTAATAACTAAAAGAATTTAAAAAGTAAGTTCAAAAAGAAAGGCGTAGTATTTATTTTTAAGCAAAGCAAACAGCTTGCTTACATGTAAGGATACAAAAAGATATTGGATTTAGAAAATAACTTGTTGATTAATAAACAGCCTTTATCGTCCTTTTAAAATTTTTTTTCAAAATAATTCAGAGTATAATTTGATATTCTATAACATAAAAAATGCTTACAATAATCTAATATGATCTATAAAATTAAATAAATTGCTTTTAAATTTGACACATTCAAGCGAGATATTTTTATTCATATGTTTAAGCTATCATTTTTTCTTTGCTCCATCAGTAAGGACCATTACACCTCGTTTTCTCTTAAACTCATTTTTTTAGATTCCTTTTTTCATTGATTAATTTCAAAAAGCTTTTTTATTTTTACAGTAATTTTGCTATTATAGTCTTTTATGGTGCTTTTCACTCCATTGCTAACATAACCATATGTTAATTGTTTACATATGCATAAATTTGTTTGGTCCTTCTTATAAAATAATATGGTAAGACAGGCAAGTGTGGTTTTTAATATATTAACTACTTGCAACTTTAATTTATGGGAATATAGGCGAAACTCGCAAGCAATTATGTGTCCATTTAAAACTGGAGCAAGAAAATTTGTTGTAAAACTGGTTCGAGCTTAGATTATGAAAATTCTGTCTAGAATTTAGTATATTTTTAGGTGTGCTTGTTATAATTAATAATCTACAATCAAGAATAAGTTAATAATAATCCGAATGCACGATCAAATAATACACATGGAAACTTTGCTGCAGAGAAAGTGATATTAAACTAAAAGATGATAAAAATATATATTTTTGTAACGCAAAATTTTGTGCGACTTTATTATATCGCTTTTGATTCGTCTGCATCTACAATCCCACCCGGCTTCTGTTCAAAATTTAAAAACGGTAATCTGTACAGAGTCATATATACACGGACAAGCAAGTTAATTTCATTGATCCATAAGAATACACCTCTGAAATGTACTAACAATGTGGCAAGGCATTACAGTAGTCGACATTTTGACGAAGTTCAATCGAGTACATAAATATTTTCTCTTAAAGAGATGAAAAGGAAAAATAGATTTTTTGAATTGTTTAAAACTGAATAAATTTAATTGAATATTAAAAAAATTTAATTTAGAGTGCATTAAATAAACGTAATGAATTGATTTTATTGTATGGGCAACGGTTTGCCCAGAAAACTAAACGGAAAAATTGTCTTTAATATTCGCAGTTGGTCGTACTTGTCTCGCCGCAGCAGATCCACAAGAAAAAGTGGAAAAAAAGCACCTTCGCCCCGTAGTCGTAATCGAAGTTCCCCACATATCCTTTTATATGCTTTGTGCGTGTGTGCGACTGTTATGGGTAAAAATTTGCCACGCTCGTCGTAAATCTGATTTTCACACATATATATATATATATTAAACATATATCAAATTTCATAAAAAATTCAATGTTCCGAAATCATCGTAAAATCGCCCTATTTCACTTACATACATATTCACTAAATTAGCTTCCTTCATGTGCTTTTTATTTTGTATAAGGTGAATCCGTGATTACATGGATATTGCAAGCAAATTATTGTTTTCTTGATATCGCTGCTGCCGCGTTAATGATCTCGTTGCGTTTGTGCAACTAAAGTTTAGTCGTGTTTTCATTTTTAAAGGTTTCCAATCAAATGCTTTCTTTACAATTAATCGTATGCCATTCTTGAAAAGACATTGTTTGGAATCTTTATCGTTAAAAACAAAAACTTAAAAAAAAGTGCAATAACAAGATGGTAAAAAATGGATGATGCTGCCGTTTACGCTACCATTAATGCATCTGCATGTGTTATTTTGTTTATATTCAAGCTGAATATAATGAATTCTTTCTAGCCTGTCGTGTGCTACGGCTTATTAAACAATTAACTACCTACCCCGAATGTGAGAAAGTTGAAAAAAGTTTGCCCTCCGGCGTACTAAGCAATCCAAGCACATTATCCAGACACTCTACGCTTTTCTATTTTATAATTTGGTGCCACTATTACTCTGCGTGCTTCGCTACATTCGACTCGGCTTACTTCAGCTAAACTCACTTGTGGTGTGAGTGGTTGGTCGGTTAGATGGTTGGCTGTGTGGATGGTTGGTTGGTTGTGTGACTTGGTGAGTTATTTGGTTAGTTGTTCGGTTTCTTGTCGAATTTTTCATTTTGTTTTAGTTTTTTTTTTTTTCCCCATTCTTTTTATCACTTTTGCTGCTGTAGTGCGTTTACAATATACAAGCAAACGTTCAATGAATTCGAGTGTGGTAGTTTTTCAGTACTTTTGCTTCAGTTATTTTTATGTGTGAATGTGTACACAAAACATACTTTTGATTGTATGTGTGTCTATTACTTTCGGTAGGAGTAAATCGGTGCGTGTTTTCTTAGCTTTAAAAAAAAAAAAAACAACAAAAACTTGGAAATTATGCCTTTTCTGTTGCCATATTTTTCTTTTCCTTTCTCTTGCATTTTGCATAATGTTTATGCTTAGAATGATTTAGAAAGAAATGATCGAATCATTCTACAAAATATAAATATGCACGCGAATGTAATGAACTCCGCAAAAGAGGGCGGGGTACAAGGTGAGAAATATGTAAAACAAAACAGTAGAATATAAGAATCTTTTGCTAGTCTAATCGTCTGTGCGATTTCTTTATAACATTGCAGATCCACCCACCCATATATTTACGCAGTATATATATGTATATATGCGTACGTATATATCCGGCAGGAAAATGTTTTATATAAGAGATTTCAAATAGGCTCTAAGTGGTGTCCTCATAATGCAGACATCGTTCATACTTACCAACTATTTAATAAACTATATAGGTCGGAATTATATAGTTAAGAACGATAAGTTCTTTAAGTTGGAAAATATGCGTCTAATTCAAAACAAAAAAATTAAAAAAATTGCTATACCGGAAATGAAAGTTTAAAAAAGTGCTTCTACAAAACTATCTCAAGTTGCTTGCGCATGCTAATATTGACGCTAATGCAATGCAATCAAATACTAAATAAGTTATAAAATTTTAGCGCATTTTATGCCAATATGTTTGCAATCATTTGCTAAAATTCACTATTCGTTCGCAATAGATGGTTGGTGGTCGATACTATAATCACACTAATTAAATGACGTCTTCGCTAATTTTTGTTAAAATTTGCATTCGCTCCGTTATATGGAGCGAGTGTAAGTTTGGTGGCACCACTTTAATTAATTCCGGTTTAATAAAGTTACACTTCAATCAATCAATATGCATATATGTACATACATATAGGTACTTTAATTATCAGAATTAGTACGTGAATATCTCTCTCTCTCCATGCTAAGTGTATTATAATAAAGGTCAACTTTGTTTGTATAGATAAGGCTAATCTCCTCAAATTATTTCGATTTATCTCAATTCTGTTTGAAATTAACCATTTCCCTGCAAGGTTACGCACATGAGTGATCAACATAGGATGTATGACGCAGAAAACATCATTGTCACATCCTCTATGTATACATATATTTCGTCAAAAAAAAAAAAAAAAATAAACCAAATGGATAATATTCGAAGTATTTCTGCTAATTAATGAGTGCATAGAGTTCATATTTTCTGGTTCTTATAAAATTTTTGGCGTATAAAAAAGTTGTATTCATTGAAGAGAATCTTGAATATCATCCACCATCAAGATAATAAACAACCTGTAACAGAAAATACTCTGTTAAAAAAAAGCACTACGAAATATCGCAGTCCAAGATTCTGCTTCCTCTTATGTATTGGTTTTTGCTAATCCCCACCCCTCCCCCTCACCGCCAAAACTAAATATAAGAGTGCACGAAAACGCTTGAAATTCCAAATCATTCAGATAGGGCCGTAAGTAGCGATACAAGATTATTGAAATTATTAGTTTTTTTTTTTTTTCCTCCGATTATTTATTAAGCTTGTGAACTATTGTCGGATCATCACATTTGTATTCGATCAGTGCAATTCCACAAAGAATATTTGTTGGAAATTTTTTTATCTTTCCATCTTAGCTAATTCGTGTCAGAAATTAAAATTTTTACTCCATACGTATACATGTGATTGCGTTTATATACGACTTGGAAAAATAAATCCATGTTCTATTGTTGCGTGGCTTCATTGGTTGGAAAACTCCTTTAATTCTAATTTTAAGGATATAGGTAGCCGTAATTTTCTTTTACATATGTAAGACTATGTGAGGACAACACATTCGAACTGTACACATATACGTAACGTTTACATAATTTTTTTTGAAATATATCTATATAGGTTAGATTAGGATAATTTGGGCTGGTAAGTTCGCGTCATGACACTCTGGCTTAGTGCGTTAAATTAAACAGATCAACGAAGTCATATTTATGAAGTGAATGTGACATGAGAATGTCTACAATGCAGGGAAGATATGGCGGACCATTCCGACATGGAAAATCTCTTTGGTTTATGCCTTTGTTAGCAATTAAGGGAAGTTAATTCAAAACGTCATCAGATGTAAAGCATAGAAGCGGAGAAGTTATCTGGATGATGGGCTTTCAACTGACTATTAAAGGACAAATGGATATCAAGCGAAGTGAAGCACTTAAAATTGTATCGTGACGAAGTGTGCCGCGGTTCATTTGAAATTTTTCCCAAATAATAATTGAAAGACTGAGTTTGGACTAATGTTCAAATGTTGATTAGATTTTTGTAAAGAAGCTTTGGTATCCGCTTGTCACTTATAATTCCTTTTAGGCAACTCTTTAGCATATCCTTTAGTCCTGACATTCACATTTATCCATGCTCCTATATGAAAGCTTACTTTTGCGACACTAGTTTACATCTTCGTATAATTTTTTATTACTTTTAGGCATTGAGTTTTTGATGGTAGTAAGATCTGAAATTGGAATAACTAAATTAGAAAATTAACGCAAGCGCACAATACTTGAAACATGTCACGTTTTGGATTGCGAAGCAATGCGGATGGCTTTAAATTATCAGAAGACAAATTTAGTAGAAGAAAATTGTGCAAATCTACATCAGCAGCCGCTTCAATAAAACGTGCACTACAACAAAAAGACAACGAAGATAATGCAGGCGACGAGAAAAACTTGGAACTGAAGGATATAGAAGGGACATTTGACCCTATAAATCCAAACGATGATGATGGAGACGACGGATTACCATTGGCATCAGCAATAGTGAAGGGTGGAGCGCTCGTATGTCGATTGCCCTTAGACCGTATAACAGATATTATACAAAAACTTAATTTGAATAAAACGGAAGCAGATATAATTGATTTAAAGGAAACGAACGATCAAGGCAACGATGAGGTGGAGGAAGTTGAAGACGAAGAGGATGATGAGGATAAGATACAGGATGTTAGTTTATCAAAGCCGACAACTGCGATGATAAAGATTTTGTGTCTGTACTGTGATAAGAAATTTTCATCTCATAAAATGCAATTGAAGCATGTAGACAAATTTCATTGCCAGCAACCAGATCGACGTTGCAGTGTTCGTAATGCTTTGGTGCAACAGACTAGCGGTTCGAGAAAACGTAAATCGAACATTGGGCAACAAAGTTTTCCCGGTTGTACGTATTGTCAAAAGGCTAAGGGGCAACAAATTCAATTGCCTGCGGCGAACGCCTACGATCTGAACGCTTTATTTATACATCTGGCTGATTGTCATGCCGATAGATACTTTGGCTGCAAAACATGTGTCCTGCGTTTTCCAAATATTGGAAAATTATCGAAGCACATGCAAATAGTGCACAAAAGCTTGTCGTTTGCATTTGATGAGAATTCCAAATCGAAGGATAACGATTCAGATTTAATAGCTTCTGATAAGCAGGCAATTAGTGAACGCAGTAGATTGTCAGTTAAACGACAACAGCGATCACAAACCAGATCGACATCTAGTAGTAATTTCGTTGTGCCTACTATGAATGTCGGACCTCAGTGCAGCACTGCCATAAGTACTGACATAACAGTTATTGGTGCAGAAGAACCAATACTTTCACGTTTGGGGTTAACGCAGAACCGATTGCCAAATAATCGCAAAGGCGTGCGTTTACGTAGAGAAAATTTACTACCGGAAGCCCTACTTAAGTCCGAACAAAATCCAACTACGAATTTTACTTCCCCGCCGACGCCGGCCCCGGCCACCTGCTCACCTAAGCTACGAGGCAAGGCTATCAAACACCAGACAAATAGCTTTGTTGGTGACACAACAACAGACGTAATTTTTCGTGTACCCACTCGTAATGATATTTTGTCTTGCGTTTTCGATGATAACTTTTACAAAGAAGTTGTGTCGAACGTACGAAACAATCTTTTGTTCCATATTGATGGTAAAATTATGGGCACTGCACTGCCTAACATGGATACGGTTTTAATTCGACATGCACCGCAACCGCAAATACGCAGCACGCTAGTCAAAAGTCCTATTGTTCTAACAACGATGGATAGTGAAATTCATGCTGCAACTAGCCTCGCAGCCGTCACGGCGTTCCCTACACTTTTGACGGCCAAACAATATGGTGGTGATGCAACCTCCGCTAAGATACGTCGACCCCATACAAAAAATTCGTGGAAATGGAAATGGGATAGTGTTAAAAAATTTAAATTAGTTAACGAAGGTGGAAAAATTGTTAAAAAAATGAAGCATCCAATGTTCGGTTTACGTGATCTTTCGAAGCTTGATATGTGGACCCAACTGACAATGCGACAAAAACATGAACATCAGCATCATCATCAACAGCAATTGCACCATCTGCAGCTGGAAAATTCACATCCAGATAAGGGCGAATTTAATCAATTGTCAGAAGTGTTCAACGATCCTTGCCGTGAGGAAAAGCAACGTCTTAACGATCAATTAAACTTTATTTTGGACATGCGCTTATTACCGCACATTATATTGGAGCAAAGTGAGCAAGCCATCATCAAAGTTGAAAATGATGAATTCGGTATCGGCCCCACACGCTCCTCTATTGATGAAGAAGACTGCACCGAGAACATTATGAATCAAACGTTTGCGGACGAGAGTTTCTTGTCAATGTTAAATTTAATACCTAAACATAACAGTGATATAAAAAGACAAAAATTAGTATTGAGTGGAGAATGGGCGCGGCCGCGCTGCTATCTTTGCATGTGTTGCGGTGCAAAATTTGAAAAAATTAAATCACTTGAGGAGCATAAAATGTTTCGTCATTCTCACATACTTTCCACTCATTACGAAGTAGTAGGCCGAGAATTATTGGCTGGGAATTTACTACGTCACCTTTTTATACCGAAGAAAGCACTTAGCCGTTATGGTAACGAACACATTAGTTTAGCATATAGTGGTGCGGCTCGACGCTTATTTTGGCGTAAAAACGAAATTCTGACTAGAGAGATTACAAATAACGATGAGTCTTCAGACAGCTTGCAATCTATATTAAATAGTTGCGCTACTAATTCGCCCAGCGCTAAGCATAGTTGTATCGAGGATTGCGATACAGATACTAAAACCACAACCGCCACGACGCCAGATATGGTGAACAATACAATTGTATCGCCCGCGCACAGCATTCAATCGTGCAGTTCTTCTGCATCAGCGAGCAAACATATGAAGACCCAGACGAATTCCAGATCGCTGTCTTCATCTACAATTAATGGCAACAGTTGCTCGAAGTGTGGTCGCAAATGCAATGGCACTTCGGATTTATATCGTCATATGCTCGACTGCTCGGGCGATTATATTTGGTCAATGGCTAAGAAAAGAAAATATCGGTATTATTGTGGTTCTAAGAAGCGAAGACCGTGCAACAAACATAATATACTTGAATTACGAAAAAACAAACCGAAACCGGCTAAAACGCCACCAGCAGTAGGCGTTGAAAGTGAGGAGACCACCAGTCCGAATTTTGCAAAAACAAAAACACCGCCTCGACCAAGGCCCAGTGATGGTAAATTTCGCTTGCATTTTATATGATTATAGGTTTTAATTAATTACTTTTACATTCTTTTTCCAGCTGAATCGATTAAGAAAATGTTGGAGAATTTACCACCTAAACGAATTTGCAAAAAGATTTTTCCATTACTGAATAAATCAAAAAAGCCACCGAACATGAAGCCCCGGCTTAGAGTTAAGCATAAAATTTACCGAAGTCTACGAAAGACGCGCATGCGACAAATGTCTCAGGCCGCGAAAATTTTGTCTAAAAGTAAAAGTCAACTGCACAAAAAGAAGCGGCTACCGCGAACGACCCCAGTAACCGTAGTCCGTGGAAGAAAAACGAAAGGCCTTAAGATAGAGACGAATAAGACCTTTAGAAAAAAAGATATAAAATCGTTTAAGCAGCAAGCAAGCGAGAGCATCATAGAAGATGCTATAGACGTTGTGGATAGTCCTAGAAAAACTAAAATTGAGAATGAATCGGACTTGTCCGGAAGCAAGAATGGTGAACCTGCGAGAACGAATTTTATAATTGAGAAACGTTTAACTCCTAAAAAGTCTTCCTCGTCTTCCTTAATGCTAAATACGGATGGTGAATCGAACAAGACGCCGGCGTCGGAAGATGCTGAGAAGTTATTACAGACCCCAAAAAAATTCATAAAGCAATTAGGGATGCAGTTAGACAGTGTTGTTTATTCAGAACAAATCTCGAAAAATGAAAATAACGTCAGTGATAAAAGCTCTCAAGCATCTTTAAACATTTCTGAAAGTAATGCGAATAGGAACAGTGGCACTAATACCCTTGCAACGTCATTTATTGAACAGGAAAAAATTGGGCAAACCAATAAAAATGTTAAACGAAGCAAACGCATCAGCGATTGTATAGCAATGTTGACAGGAAAGCTGGAAGAAAAACTTAAAACAGAACAGAAAATCACGACGCCAACGAAAATTACTGAAAGGACTGTGGATATTGAAATTATAGTGACTCCAGAAAAGCCGAAAACACCACCATTACAGACAATAGTTACACCAATCATAGAGCATTCCAAAGTTCAAGAAACCGATAGTAATTGTATATTGTCGCCAAAAAAGACTCCCAAACGTAAGACTATCTCAAGGCGTATTATTAAAGCACCGAGCTCAGTAAGTACAAGTGGTGAGCTCAAAGTATTACCTGAAAAAGAAACGACTCCCATTATCAGTGCTATGGCAACCAAAGCCAAAGTTACTATTACATCGAATTCTATTAAGGATTCCGCTGCTTTAAAGCATAAACATTCAACGTCAATGTTTATGCAAAATGTTGCAGCTGCAAAGCAAATAACGACTGACGTCAAGTTAGCTAATATCAATACACCAGTTTTAGCGCCCCCAACATTACCTAAAGTTATGCCAGTTTGTGCTTTAAATATGATGCCTAAGGTGCCACTTTATATACCGGTGGATAATTTACGTGCTGCTGCTCCTCATTTACTGCCTCTGCCTTTACCGATGCCCGTACCTGTAGCGTTGCCTGTGGAAAATGTGACGCAAATTTCGCCTGATGCCGGGCTTTCCAATACTACAGCTGCCGCGGTAGCGGGCATAAGCTTGGTTGCCCCAACTTTATCTATGGTCAGCGCTGTACCGGCTCACCTTCAGGGCCCAGCAGCTTTACCTTATACAGTGCCTGCTTTTAACGCTGAACCCCTTAATTTATCGAATGCTTCTAAAGGCTTACGTAAACAAAATGATGCTTCCCAGGATTTATCGTATTCCGGTAGTCAACGTGCTGTAGGCGGTATACCAGCTCGACGCCAAACAATTTGTGGTGGATTTGAAGCCCGCAATTTTGCAATATTCGAAGATATGGAACCTTTGGACCTATCAAAAAAGCCACGACCGGAGAAAAATCCTAGTGTAACATTAACGAATGCAGGCCATCAAAAACCAGTAGATATGGTTACACCCTTACTGCTACCACCGCCACTACCAGGTCCAGCAACTCCTGGACTACAATCCGCTGATGTTCCCGTCACAGCGTTGCCATCTTTAACATCCGAATTACTACTTAACAAGCAGTTTTACTCGAACTTGGATTTACTTAGAATTCCACAAGTTAGAAATCCAACTGCTGGACCAATGAATAATGACTTAACGCTTACCAATATGGTTAACCAAAGCTGCATTAATACCGCTCCCACCACCAGCATTAACAATGCCACGACCACTTCAACATGCGTCACTAAACCATCATCAAAAAAACGTAATAATAAAACTTCCAATTTCGCATTTACTGCTGTCGCGTTGTCTGGTACTACACAAAATAATGACGCAATTAGCAACGCTCAATCAGCATCTACCAAAAGTAAAGAAACATCCAAATCGAAAGATACTTGCGGTAAAAATAAAGGCGTTTTAAAAATGGATGAAGAAGTAATTAATCACATCGATGACGCGATCAACTCTGTAATAAACGCGGTGAAGGCGAGTTTGAAGGATAGCGAGGATGCTGAGAAATCTCAAAATCAATTATGCTCGAAAACTACAGACGATGTCGTGCCTGCCAACCCATTACCCTGCATTGAACTCAAGAGTTTTACTCCCGCTAAACGTAATATGCGTTCGAAAACATTGGATTACCGACCGGCCGCTCTCTCGAAACAAAATTTACTGCCAAATGCTATTATACCCGTTCAACAACAAATAACAGATAATGTACTTAAAAATAATGCCGTAATTGAAGTCAATGCGCAAATGATAATTGAAACTCATAAAGAAGAGATTGCCCGCAACGATCCTATTGCCGTTAAAAGTAACATATCTAGGATAATAGATGAAATAAGCAGCGAAAAAACATTAATGAAAACCGATGTGGAGACGAAAAAGCTTAATAACAAAGATCAGATACCTTTGGCTGATAGCTCGAGAGCGAAAGAACCCGATGTCTATACTAATTCGATTACGTTAAATCAAGATAAGACTCAGAATAATGAATTGACAAAAAATCAAATCGTAATTGACAATAAAGTGCAGGCAGTAAAAGACATCACGACGTCAGAAAAATCGGATAAGGTTCTTATTTCTTCGTTATCATCCAACGCGGAAACTGAGAGTGTAGCTAACAATACAAATACAACAACTACTAATACACTAGAATTGGAGCAGGTAAACAGCAACATTAATAATACGTCATCGGGTTTTCATAGCTCCGCGCAATCGGATTTAGCAACTGCGACATCTGTAACAGCAACTACAGTGACGGAGTGTACGGCACCAGATGCAAGCAAAAAGAAACAAAGGAGGCGTCGTAAAAATGAATTAGCCGCAATTGTAGCCGATCAGTTGTTAGAAAGTTTCAAAATTGACAAAGCCCGCCGCGACAATTTGAAGAAATTGGAGAATCTGGCTTACGAGAAAAGCGAAGACCTTTTACTAACGGGAATGCTTTTGATGTCTAGCACGAAAAGGATTGTAGCTTCGGGGACGGGCTCGACCACTACTGTGGAAAGCATTGAGAGTAGCAGTAATAGTGGCGCAAATAAACGCAATAATAAAAATCAGCGTCAACCGCCGATACACGAAGTTATACCAGCTTTAGCGGTAAGTGAAACAATTCCAATAACAGAACAGGATAAAGTGGATGGTAACGGCGTCAATGGTCAGCAGCAAACACAGATTGAGAAAGCGACCGAAAAGGAGACAATAGATACCAAGAAGCCAAACAATAAACGTCGCCAATATCGAAGACGGGGAAAAGTATTGGATAACGAAAATATAAGTAAATTAAAATCATCTTTGGAATCATTTTCCATTGACATTGAGCGTCAACTTAACGAGTTTGAGGCTAAGAATGTGAACGTCTTCAAAAATGTAGGTAGCGATATGAAAACGGTTAACAACTCCGCTGTAGAACAGAGCTCAACATCAGCTAAATCATCAGTTATCCTCAGACCAAGTATTCTTTCTATGACATTGGAAGCGGTTAATCAAAATAATAATTCGCAAGCCAGTAAAACAGCGCCTAGTGATACAAATAAATCTGCAGTTTCAAGTCGGGACCCTCGACTCAACAAAAACATACATAAAGAGGATGGGACGCCAGCGAAAAAGTCAACATCTCCCAAAAAGAATGGGACCACATTGGATGAAATTGGCGATGTAGATGAGGATAATTATTTAACCGAAATTGCAAAAAATGTGAATGAGAAGATAATGTCAACGGAAAATGAAGAGTTTGCATTTAAGGATGACGGCTTTGAATTGGTGAATGAGATGCCTGACGATTCGAATAGTAAATTCTCTAGGCCGCCAACATCGATGAGTGTGCGCAGTGCACCGAACTTTAATGACGATCGCTCTAATTTCGGTTCAATATGTGATGAGAATACCAACACCGAAGCCATGGATATGGATTTGGATGACGAAATGAGTGTGTATACTAGCTATTCGCAAGATTTAGGCAGAGGTCGGGGTAGGCGTAGACGCCGCCGTCGCAGCATATTGTTAACACGTAAACCTAAAAAGCGTGCAACAAGTCGTGATTTGTCAAGCGAAAAGATTGAATGCGTCTTATGTAAGAAAACATTTTATAGCGCGAATTCACTGGCCAAACATAATATGACGTTGGCGCATGTTTCCAAGGTTTCCGAGCAAGAGTATCTTCTATCAAAGACAATGGCAATTTCATCGCCATCCGTTGTGCCAGTTGAACAAAGTCAACATAATTCATTGGGGCCATATGCCAGAAGATTAACGAGAAGGGCGACAATATCTGAACCGCCCAGGCAATTGTCGTTAGAATCGAGGCCTTCGTCACCGTCACAATTGCCATCTTTACAACACGATCCGACATCCGTGATATTACAATCAACGCCCATTAGGCATTTATCATTCAAGCAGCTGCCTATTAATTCAGAAACTTCAAGTGCCATAAGAGAAAATACGCATTCGGAAGAAGTAGTGATAGCTGAGCCTAGACAGAAACCTAGCATTACTAGCAAGGAATCACCTCCTCTTAATGAAACAAATGTCTCTGCGAATTCTCGTTTGAATCTCAATCCAGATGAACGCCTATTTTTTGAATGTTGCAATATATTGAAAGGAGCAGAAACACCTCGCATAACAGCCGATGCTGGAAATAATCTTGACACAAATTATACATATACCTATAAACAAGAGAAGACTTCGACTTTACCTGCTAGTAATGTTGGACCCAGGGACCCGGCACCAATTGGTACGGTAACAGAGGGTGCTACACGAAGACCTTTACCACCAGCGTTGCATAATAGTGTTCAACCAATAATTCAAATGGCGACAGAGCCCTCCAATGTTTTTAGAGATCCGCAACTAATAACAGCAGTAGGCACGGGGAACTCTTACAACAAGCAAAATCAAGAAAGGTAAGTTCCACAATTTCGATTTCGATTTAATAAATCATTATATGATATGTTTACCTAGAAGCACGCGATCGCCCACATATTCAGCCGTTTCCCAATTATCGGCAGTTACTAACACAACATCCCGTTTCAAAACCAAGGCAGCTATGAAGGGCTATGAAAATGTTAATATTGATTTGGCTTTGCAACAACATGAATCGAAATCACGTACCATATGTAAACTAACAGAATTGGCTGAAATTGCTTTAGGTACGGAAGAGAAACCCCCAAGCTCGCATCAGTATTCGCCTATTCAGAATAGTACGCCACCACCAGAGCTTTTGTCTGCACCACTTATGGATGCAGCAGCACATGCAGCTATGTCGGATAATATCCATATGAATACACCGGAATATGTCACACTCTCTGTGGTAGATAATCAAAAGAATTGCATGCCGCAATTAGGCGGGAGAAACGAACGCGCCAAAAATAATGAGACACGTAGCTCCACATCATCCAAAACTATTATGCATTCATCAATTATAAAAGCGGCTGTGGAGGAACATCAAAAACCTACCATTAACAATAAAATAATAATACCAGATCGTCCGTTTAAGAATATCGGTCTAGAAGAGAAGGAAACGATCACTTTCCAGAAACCAAAAACACCTGCTGTAAATTTGTTGAACGATGACAATAGTGTTTCTACGGCCAGCTTTTCTGATCGTGACGATTACGATTTCGGTTCGTTAAGTTGCGATGACGAGGGTAGCTTACGCGAGGGTAACGAAAAAAATATTAAAAATGACTCAACAGATTCAAGTACCGAATCAAGCCGTGCCACAGCTAAAACTTTTGAAAATAAATCCTTGATTATGGGTCGTATTTTCAAGAATGCTACTACAAAGACGACAGTAAAGAATGCTCTTACAGCCGTTAAGGTGAAAAGCGTCGGCGTGCAAAAAGATCAGACACCCATACCAAAGGCAGACCTTAATCAACTATTTGATGAATTGAGAGGTAATTCTAGAGTAGAAGTGAATGCTAATGATCGTACGGCGACAGCTGTGGCATGTGGGATTGTTGCTCCGTTAGTTACTTCCGCAGGTATTTCGATTGTGAACAATTCACGTAAAGAAATCAACAATTCAACCGCACGTGTTAGTAGTGCTACTGATCATTTGCTTAATAAACGCCAGCAAGAATCTTGTATGCCATCAAAAGGTCTTACGGTACATGCCGCCTCACCGCCTGCCGTAGTAAGCTCTACTACCACTACGCCGGCAATAAATGTTAAAAAAGGTCGAGAAACTCGTAGCAGGGCTAATAACAGTAATAATAGTACAGGTCGTAAAGCTCGTAAGGATATTTCAAAGTTACAAACTGAGTTAGGCATGAGTCCTGATGAAATAAAGAAACTCATCGATGAAGGTCAGCGTAAGTCTAAGCGGCGTTGTGCTACAAACCGTCCCAAGAAATTAGTGGAAATGTGGAGTTCTGATGAATATGAGGAGTTTTTGTCCACTAAGGACATTATCGCTTTGATTGAAGAAAAGGAGCAACAAGAGAAACGTCGCAAAAGAAAAACCAGTATTAATTTGTCATCAAACAACAGTGAGGTGGCCAAAGAAAAGGATGGCACAGATGTTACTTCTAGTACCAGAGATAATAGGCGACGTATTACGCGTACCCTGAGTATTGCGACCGAACGTGAGGATCTCGTTAACACCAAAATAATACAAACTGGTAGAAGAAAGTCATCAGCAGCAAATAATTCTGGCAAACGTGGCGGCAGTGGTGGCAGAGATGAGCTGCTTGTAAGTACGACCGCCAAAGTTTTAAAAAATACCTCAGGTGTAAGGGCATCTAACTCCAACAAAGCTAATAAGCATACGAAAATGAATGCAGAAGTTGTTTCAACTGTAGCTGAGATCACTAAGAACCATCGTAACAGTAGTAGAGCTAAGACGAGAAGTAAATCGCTGGCACTAACTAACGCTACCAAAGCAAAACCTACTAACAGTAGACGTAATTCCTCCTATAAAGCCAAATCATCGAAGTTGGTTCAATGTGAAGGCGATAATGATGACGAAGAAGCCGAAGATGATGATAAAGATATGGTAGATGATGACGATGATGATGATGAAGATTTCCTTATCTCGGAATTGAAAAAAAATAATAAAACACGAGCTAGAGCTATAAGAAAACCGGTACGAAAGGCAATGGCTTCGGCGTCGGCAGCTATAGTCACGTCTACCGGCAATGAGCAAACATCCAGAAAACGTGGCAGCAATAACAATAATACCAATTACAATAATTCAAATCTAGTACAAAATAAACAACAACAACAACAACAACAACAACAACAACATACAAAAGCCAAACGCAAATCACAGACCAACCAGTCATCGCCACGCCGTAAAAGGATTGCTACCGAAAAGCTATACTATTGGTCATCATCGAGTGATGAAGATTTCGGTCGCATTAATAGCAATAATAAAAGTCATGTCTCAGTAAACGCTTCGGGCTCAGCGGCGACCGATAATTATGATTGCGGCGCCGAGCAATATCAGAAACACGGTTGGATTGTGGGTGATTCCCATAAAAAGCTGGTTACATTATTAGCGATAGCCAAAGGAAATAATAAGAAAGTGGACTCAAATTGTGGCGTGAAAAAAAATGTAACCAAACGACGCAATTAGGGGAACCGATTAGGTGTTGATCGAAATGCCTATAAATTAAATATAGCAGATGGCGTATTACAAATTATGAGGCAGTAGCAATTGATATACTCGTTAAGTTAGTTTTAGATTCCACCCCATAAGTTTAGTTTAAATTGTAGGGATAGTTTTAGACTTAGACCGTTCTTACACACACACACACACACACACACACACATTCACACCAACATACACACATACACATACATACATACACATACACCCTTACACCCATACATCAATACATTCACACACACACACACATATATATATATATATATATATATATATATACACATATATAAATTATATATGTACAGAAATTTATTAGAAATTTATTATTAATACGAAAGTCGTAAAGAGCTAAATGAAATATGAAGCTATTTGAAAAATATTTTTATGCATTGTAAACTATAATTGTAAATTATTTGGAGAGGAAAGAAATAGGATTATTAGAATTCTAGAAGACAACCACTTACTCAAACACTATATCATAATTATTAAAAGGAAATATCTCGTGCGAGTAAATTAGATAAAATAAAATGAACAGTCGATCATCTCTGTAGTACGTGGTTTGTTACTAATATACTTCCGGCTGGAAGTACAATACGCATCTTAAGTTTAGAATGTAATTAATTAATCGTCATCAATATTACCACTGGCCATTATCAATAATTATGTATGTAATATTTATCTATGTTTAGGTAAGAAAAGTATATCTTCTATCCCCTCCTCGACATATATACATGAATATGTATTAAGCCACAAATTTTCAGCGTAAACAAACCTTTCGACGGTGCCCGTGATTTTTATTTGCATTATGATTATTATTATTATCATTATTATCATTATTATCATTATTATCATTAA